TTGTGCAGGACAGTACAGTCCACATATAGAAGCAATAAACAAGCAAATAATCCAGGGCATTGCTCCCTCTGTTCCACTTCCCAAACTGTAGATACTTAACACTATGTAGACAGTAGAGTAGAAGGTACCTAATGTAAATAGAAGTCTTAAAATAATAATTCCTAGTAAARGAGCTGTCTTCTTTCCATGCTACTTCTTTACAAATGGGTTTCTACCTAAAACAAGCCTGTGAGGTGTCAGTACACTTCTTGGAGAAGATTTCTCTATCAGGGGATTCTGGCTAATCTAGGGCAAAACTGTCAGTCCTATAGTGTTAAACTCCAAGAATTTCTATCACTATTTTACAATAAGTTATATTTTTCTGAATAGATAACTCTCTGGGGGCAGTCAGAATGACTTCCTTCCCCCTGAGTTATTCATATGCTTCTCCTGAAGATGTGCACCGGGAATGAAATACTTGAGAGAAAAAGAATCTCTACAAAATGTCTTAAGCCTTAATCTGTGAAWCAATGAAGAGGCAACTGCAAATGCCTAATACCATTTCAGGTGCCCCAAGGAATTTCATCTGGCTCAGCTGTAACTCCCAAAGAGCCCAGGTCTCCTATATGACCTACATCGTACCTACCAGCTCCATGAAGGCATCTGAAGGGAGCCTTGAATATCTAAAATGGCAGTAGGTATTGGCATTAAGACTTAGAATCCCCAGATTTTATTGGGATATATATGCTATTTTCCTGAAAGGCTGTTCTGATATCCGCTAATAACGGGAACGTATCAATATCAACTTCTGATGAGTTGCTGTTTTATGGCTCATGAAAAGGAAATTTGTAGAGTCTCTTTTAAAAATGTTCCATTTCTCTTTCTAGCTGTAGTCTCCTTATGGTCTGCAACATCATATCTTACCTTGCTAATAAAGGTTGTATTGGAGCCAGGTGAAGAATAGTCACTGATGAAGGTGGATAATAGAATGGTGGAAAGGGCATAGAGATCAACTCAAAAGTAGACTGGAGGTCAATAAAGGTTGGCTTAAGACTTGAAGAGTTCTTTCAACCTCTACAAGGGCCCTACACATAGGACTGCATGAACAACCAAACACGAACAACAGGATGAAGAAGAAAATCTAGACCCTGAAWTTCAAGGGAGGGAGTTTTCTATATTCTTCTCAAAAGGAGTCAATATTCCTTTGAAGCTCTTCTGGATCTGAGCTTATGGGCTGGTATCATCAAACAGCATAACAATAATGGGACAGAGTAGAAGTAGCCTTGTGTGTAGACTGTCCCCTCATACAGCCAAGAAAATGATATTATATATGAGGTTTTCAATTAGAAAGAAATTTAAATTAAGCCATTCCAATGTATCTAGGAATGCACAAAAGTGTTCAAGGCTACCTTTTATCTTAATAGAAAAAAAATGAAAAGGAGGGAATTGTATTTTCCTTCTTCTCTTGCAGGTTTCTCTCAATTTAAGCAGAAACAAAAACTTGTGATGTTGAGACTGCAAATACTGACGCTTTATGATATGTTTACGGTCAACAGAAATGGCAATGCTCTCACTGTAAGACAGATGTTGAGATTCACAATTCCTGCTTCACTGCTTGGGTTATTAAGTTTTAGTATGAGCTGCCAATATTTTCTTCAGGATTCCTGTAGATGTAACTGATAGCAGCTGCAAATGAAGGACCTGCACAGTGTAAGACAGCTGACTAAAAAAAAAGAAAAAATCTGATTTCAGACGCGTGACAGATCACAGAGCTGAGAATGGATTGGCAGAGTGTGTCTTGGGACCAATATCTGAGGATCACAACACACAGGAGGGTTTCCATGTCCCTGAACAACTTGTTATATATCAATCTATTGACAAAGAAAAGTCAATTCATCTCCAAATGTCACTCCCGTTCTCTTCTACTGAACGGGCTTTGTGCTGGCATAGGAGGTGGAAAACACAGGAGTCACTCTGGTATAAACCACTAGGGAAGATTCAGGCTTCTTTATGTCTTCTCAAGGCTTAAAACCAAAAAGAACCCAGGAAAGGCTAAGTTAACCTGTCGTATACTAAGTAAATAATAATAATAATAATAATAATAATAATAATAATAATAATAATAATAATAATAATAATAATAATAATAAATCACCTAGCTAAAGAAATTGCAGATAAAAGAAATTACAGAAATTGGAGAAATCAAGGAGAGTTCTGCTTGGTCTTGCCAAATATACAAGAAAATGAGACGATTAACCCGGGGAAAGAAGGGATGATAATGGAAATTTCTTGCATATTCATCCCCTTGCAATGAAAATAGCATTCAGTTCAGGTCGCCAGGTCAGTCCCAGCATCTCCATGACATACAAGAGAAAATGCACAGCAGCCCATATATTTTCTCTGATTTTTCTCACTGCAATAATTGGCATATTATTGAACATAAAAGGAACCAATACTCAACACAAGGTGGAGACTCCTGAAGCTTTCAGCTGCATTAACAGGGATGCTCCCTCTTTGTCAGAGAAGACACAAACATTTTACATTTCCACAGCATCAGCAAAATATGGAAAAATGACTACAGCCACGTAGAGGAATACAGACATATGATGGGGATAATTTCAATATGGGAAAGCAACTGGGAAACCATGGATGTCCATCATATCAAGACAACCATCTACCATTTTTACAATCTCTACAGTAATTTCCACCAGATTGTCAGAATCAACCAAGCCCTAAACAAATGCAGGTTATTCATACATCTATACTATAAATGAACATAACAGACCATACAGTCATCTTAGKACAACTTTAAAACATTAAGAATTAATATTTGTATTTTCTGTGCTCCATAGACCAAACTCCTTAACATCATTCCATAAAGTTTACCAGCAGTTCAAAGCTTTTCRTAAGGGTAGATAGTATAGATAGTATCAGAAAAGAATCATATTTTGATCAAAATTCCTATGGCACAGATAAAGGTTAATAAATGAGTGAAAGATAACCAACATTGGCAAAGCTAGGCCAATATGCAGCACTGGGAGTCTAACCCAGCATGCAAACAGGTAGCCTTATTTAAAAAAAAAATAATTTTAATTAAAAATTTTAGCTAAAACTCCATGCCAAATTTGTACATGCTGTATGTTAATATTTGCATTATTCTTTCACAATCCTATTTAGGAAATTGTTCATCTCTTTCTTGTCCTATACGTGTTGGTGTATAGCACRCGCTCATTCAACAAATCACTTTTAAATATGTTAAAAATGGCTTATGGCTTTTGTAAACATAAAAGGCACAAACTGAGCCAGCATAGTCCTATTTTGATCTCGTTCTACCTAGATACGTGTAAACAGAGRGGAAAAATCTTCATTTATATATTACTAGTACATACACATGAGATGAGACGCAGGCCCTTTGCAGTATCAAACACAACGCTGCTATGTGAAATAATATTATGTCTCTTTAATTTAATAAGAAAAATTAAGTTAAATCCTAAACCCTAATCCTTACCTCCACAATGAAGTATGCTACTTTATGGAATTGAACAATTTAATTCACAATATTTATTAATTAATCAATAAAAAATAAACAGAAATGGCTCACTTAAGCTGAAGTTATTTAAATTATCCAACCAATGATTGGGAATCATAAATGAACAGCAATGTCAAATAATCTGATTAAAGTACCCAGAAAACTCCGAATTATGATACTGATCCTAAGTAAAATATCTGACCGTAATAAACCATGTCCAATTACACTAACAAATCAAATTTTCACACAGCCCAATCAACATTCTGAAACCAAGAATTTAAATTATGCTATTCAGGTTTTGATTGCMGTTTGTCCAGCTGGGGTATTTTCCAAATATAAGCACTTAAAATGAACCTTTAAAAGGGAAGGTTTTAAGAAATAAATACTTTATTATGTAGGCCAAGGGAAATCTGCAATGGTCTCCTTTAGGAAGCCAGAATCTATTGACTAGAAATGYTGAACATAAAGAGTATGTTCAAAACTACAGTACTGTTTTCAAAATAACATGAGCGTCAATATATATTCAGACCATTGGAAAAGATATTTCTGTTTGCAAGTGCATTGCAAGGACCCACATGTTGATCGTGTTTAAAAACCTGAGAAATCGTTTATGAATGAGCACTAAGAAGAGCAATATGCTTATTTTTCTAATATTCAGAGCTTGTTTTCACTTAAAAGCACCACGATTGATGTTTTGCATTGCATCCTAACTTTTAATAGGCATGTCCACTAAAAGTTTGTTTTAAAGATTGGTAAATAAACTRGAAAGCCCATGCCTTGAGACTGCACACAATTTCTAAGATACAGAYGAAGAAACCCACTGCAAAACTTGGGCACAGACCAACTTCCTACCCTGTTGTGCTTGCAAAGTTAAGCTCGAGCACAGCTCCCCGTTTCCCCAGCCCCGTSCCATGTTAATGCCTGTGCAGGAATGAACCACGGAGTGGGTAACTACACAGAAAGCAAAACTGGACTCACCCAGCTCTTTCYCCCTCCCCAAAAAGTACCTTTTTCAACACGTTATCTGTTGAATACAGCATTTCCTAACAGTTTAAAAAGACAGCACTGTTATTCTCAAAAGCCAAGCACAGCATTCAATGGAGACACCTTCAAAAATCATTAATAAAACCCCGTAAAACGAGTTCAGTAAATCCAAAGGCAATCACAAAAGCATTTACCTTTCGTACCTGCCAAGAGGTTCCCTGACACAGCTCAAATATTCACCTTGCTATGAAGCCAATGTAATATTTAGCAATCCAAGTTCTTCCAGCACATTAAAAAGGCCACTTATTTCTAGCAGCCTGGTATTCACGATCCCGTGATGGGCACTGAAAACAAAAACACATTGCTGCTAAAATGCTTTATTAGTGTTTTGTTCCTTGCTTTCCTTCAGCACATGAGAAGTAGGGAAATGTTCTTGTGCAGCAGGGCAGAAATTGCAGAAATCTTACAAGCTGAAAAATCTACTTTTTAAAGAGAGTATAATACTTACTCTCAGTGAAGGTGATCCGTTAAAATCTATCGTTTTTAGTTATTCTCTGAAATAATAATGCTGGTTGCCAAAGCAGAGGTAGCATAATCCAACCGCATCCAGGCCTAATAGGCAGTATCCTGCTATTTGCTCCTATGGAATCCGAAATAAGGTACCTGTCTCACTGAAAATCCTGGCACTCTTGGAGAAAGCAAAGAGTGGATCTTTAGGTCTTGAATTTTATTGAAATCCCAAGATATGCACACTTCAGCTGTCACAGATTTTTTTTTTAATCCACGCATGAGAAAGGAGCAGGTTTTTTCACAATTTTCAGCAAACAGGTCACTGCAACTACAAACTGAAGTTGCTGTATCCAGTGTCATCAGTTCGAGTCCAGCTCCGTCGTCTTCAAACATAGTCTCTACTTGGCAAAAGTCACTATTCCTCCTTCTCTGGTTTCCTTTAGGAGAAAATTCAGCAGTTTCACATGTTCTCTAGTAAGATACAGTGCAAGAAATGTTTTGAAGCAGCAGCAAAACATCCATATTCTCATTTCTTATTTTGCCCTTCAGGCATAGGCTGGGTGTCTTCAGCTTGTCCTGGTCTTCAGTGCAGCCACTAAGACCTTGGAGATGGAGTTAGGACAGCGAGAAGCAACAAAAAGAAATATTGTCGCTTTAAGAACACACTTACTTTTGTGTTAGGATGTCCCAACTTTCTCTCTACTCCCACTTCGTTGTTAGGTCAGATGAAAATCTGTAAGGAGGCTCCATCAAAAGTTAAATATCTGTCGCTTATATGAGAGAAAGGCTGAAATCCTCATTCCGAACATATTCCGAAGGAGGTCAGGTTTGGTTTTAGAGCATATTCATGCCGATGAAAAGTTTTTTTGTTGTTGAAAAAAATATCAAATTCTCCCTTTAACTTAGCCATTCCCTCGGTAATCTTCCAAGTTTCTCGTCTCCCTCACACAGTTTAATCAGACACACACACAAAAAAAAAAAAATCAACTATCGCATTTCCCACATGCCTAAACTGTTATTGCGGAGGCTTCATTAAAGAAGCCTTTTATTTCTCTTATCACTGGCCCGACTGCACACCAGTTCCCGCAGCACCGCTTTCAAGCAGCCCCCAAGACTTGAAAAGCTCTCCAAGTTTGAAACCCCCCCAAAACAAAACAAAAAAGTTCGGAGTTTTTCGGTACCCCAGGACGGTTTTCTTTCCCGAAGCTCAAGCCGAGAGAGCAGACAAAAGAAGCTGATTTGACTGAGCTGTGCCAAGTCTTGCCTTTTTTTTCCTTGCCTCCGCTCCGGCGCTCGCTCCCGCTCGCTCGCTCCCAGCATGGCAACCTTCCCGCGCAGTCTTGGCCGGGCTCCAGCCCGTGCCAGGCTGTCGGAGTTCTTGTTTCCAAAAGATGCTCTCTGCGAAGCAATTAATATATTTAAAAACAGGAAGCTGTGGGTCAGCAACCAAATCTTGGCACCAACAGGAACGGCGGCTGCCAAAGCGGCTTATGGATTTCATGGTTTCCTACCTTTTACCAGGGATATAGCATTATTTTGGGGTTTTTTTTTGCTCGCTGTTTGTGGAGCACTGGAAGCCATTCGCTGCTCGCAGCGGTAAGAAATCTGCTCGCTAAAAATGTCTGCGTGCAGCACGGGAACAACCTGCAGTAAATCAAGAAGCTTTTGAAGGAGGGCGTACGGATGATTTTAATAAGCACCAAATACCCCTTAAAATAATATGAGGTTTTCCTTCTCTTAAGAGGCAGGGGAARGCTCTGGAAGTGGGAGATGGACAGATCTGAAGCAAGATCACAGCCCAAAGTCTTGTACATTTTAACTTAACTCCAGGCTGCAAAGTGCTTATCAAGTGGTGCTTATCGAGGGTACCGCTATTAAGAAACAGTTTAAGATCAAGACTAWATCCAAATCCCGCTAGCTAATTCCCCCCAAAATGTTTAGCAAACTCGACACATCTGTGGAAGCCGGTGATGTCAGCTGCTAATTCAAAAGCCAAGTTCTTGCTGTAGCATTTGGGGGGAGAAACTGCTCWGCATTAACAGTTAATTTAGTGGAAAATTTCTTGATGCATTGCAAGACTTAACAACTTAAGCTCGTAGCTTCCTTCAGGACAGGCTAAATCACGGGAATTCATATGCGTAGAATTATGGGAAAAGCCCCTTTCTTTTCTCTGTAAGTTATTTGCCATGGCAAAATGCCAGCTTTTTTTAACAACATGCACTTACGTTAATGAGCACCATCAATTACGCGGAAAATATACTGCCCTAAATGTACAAACTTAATAAGTTTACAGATGCTACTTATTTTTTTAATCATTAAGAGGTTCAATATAGATTCCCAGATGTTTTGAGCCTCTGTTATGTGGGACTTAGTCGCGCAATATTCCCCCAAGGATAATGTTCACATGGCTTAAAAAGGAGGAATAATGTTCTCCCTGAACGCTAACAAGGCAGCACGCATTGTTCCTCAGGTTAACGAAGTCCAGTGTCTTAAATCTTACTTAAAAGATCTGCATTTGTCTTAGGAGAGAGGATTAATGGCTGACCAGACGGCTGCATGGGACTGGGCAGCGACACTGCAAGTCATTTGGCTTTTATTTGATATATTTGCTGTATTTTTGCATAAGGTTTATGCCCATGTTAAAACAAATAAGATAGTTCTGTTGCTCAATATCTCTTAATTTATCAGTAATTTTTAATTGTTTCCCTTTCTCAAGGGTCCACTGACTGCATGCCTATACARCCATGAATATGAGGCGCTCACAAAATGAGACCGTGTTTAGCTACCTATATAGACAGTTATCTAAATTTAAAGTCTAAATCCAGTGCTAAATCCTACACTTTTTAATCGAGAGAACTGAAGACTGACAAGAGAATTGCCAGAAGCCTTCGAATACCTAAAAATAAGGTGCTAAAAGGGAGAATGGAAACTGCTTYGCATACCTACAGTGAACAGGACACACAGCCACGCAAGTGAAACCAAAGCASTGTTTCATTTATGAAAAATAATATGAAAAAAATTATAAATGTGGGAACTGTTACCTGGTGTGATAGGAAAGTATSAACTTATAGAAACTTTTAAAAAATAGGTTAAATGAAAATCTGCCTGGAGTTAGAATTGATCCTACTCAGGCAGATGGATGAGCAAGACGTCAACCCAAGACGCCCACCCAATGGCTGTAGGTAATRGCCTAACATCATAATGATAGACCAGGCTGAAAAAAGGTACATCTGTGTATAATTCTTTTATTTTCTCTTTGTGTATTGGCCAGAAAACTCTTAAGATGGCAATTCCCCTTCTCGGAAAGGCCGTCAGGCATCAACACGGGAACAAAAAGATCCCAYATAAGTTACTACCAGTTGGGTTATTTGTGAAAGCCATTCCAAGAGCTGCTTTTAGAAATTCATTTTTAATTAGCCTTTTCCCCAAAACTATATGTATTGACAACAYTGCATGCCTCAAAATATGTAATTCCTATAGAGATGAACAATGTCATTATTCCTTCAGAATTCCTACTGAAAGCAAGTGGGAAAACCAGATATATTCCCCAGCAGCCAAATGCTTTGCTGAACGAGAGCCTTTCCAGCATCACCAACAGCCTCAYTTTTTATCTCAATATATGCTGTTCCGTAGATAATGGACCTAATTTGCACAAATGACTCCCCTCTTCCTGTCTTGGAGCAATTTCTCCAAACCTGTGGTTTACTGTAACTGTCCTAATTCCCTCTCACTTTTCTTAAATACTCGGCAATTGCAGCCCTGCTCTCYTCCACTGCAAGTGCATTCACTGCCCACTGTGATGTCCTGTATCCTTCTCCTCCCATAAAAAATTCCTTCTGAGGTACAAGTTTCCAGAGCAGATCAATCTAACGTTTCACTTAGTCCCACATCCTTCTGACAGGGAGGAAACCCAAAACTCCCTCCACACCTTGAGCTTTCGTGACCTCCTTTTAGGCCCCTCTGTTTTGCATCTTATTCCCCCACCAGCTTCTCCAATTTGGACTCCAAACTCCTTAAATAGTCTCAAATCTCCAGCCATTTTCCTGAGAGTTCCCTTTTGATGTTATTTGCTTCAAACACACAACACTGAACTTGTCTTTTTTCCCCCAATTCTTCCTACCTATCTCTATTCCAAGCTTGACTCTTTTCCGTACTGTCAGACTTACCATTACAGAACAACACACRGCTCCGTCCTTCGACAGCAGGTACATCCAGATGGCCACGAAAAATCCACAAATTTATTCTTGCATAATATTTTAGCAATCAAATATATCTTTTCTTCTACAAATTGCAATGGAAAAAAGTACGTGTACATATTTATCTCTGGCAGGGTCATAAGTAGTCTATTACAAATTATTTTTTTCTGTCTTTCATGTATTTCATCCAGTCCTCCAACAATTTGTTCATTCAAAATTGTCCCTCTAAAAGCTCCCTGATATCTTCCCATTCTGCTCTGCCTTGAAACCCCTTTATTTATATATTTGTCCATCTCTTATCGCTCACCAAAACGGCATGCCTATAAACCTGAAGCCACAGACTTGAAAGGAACAGTCTCCCACCTCGCAAATGGAAAAATGATGCACAGAAACAGCAGTCGATTTGCTTGAGCTGTAGCAACTCTTAATGCAGAACTCAAAAATAAGACTCAAAATAACTCAAAAATCTGCCTTCTTTCAACGCTCAACAACAGTCACTTCGCTTTGCTTGCGGTGAAGGTTTAATGGGGCAAATTTCATTTCCTCTTTGCCTTCCTTGACAGGCCTCCGAAGTGTTAAGAATCAATGAAAACCACCTAATACTTCAATTCCAGACTTTGGATTATTAGAATACTGCTCCTTCGTGGCGTGTGCATGATATTTTCCAAAATATTTTATTCTTAAGAGCTTATCACATTCCAAGTGGTGCCTCTTTGTCAGGGCAGGGYTGCCCTGATCAGCCCTTTACCTCCCACTCTGGTCTTACCACTTCTCAGCATTCACAGCAGATATCTATGAAATCAGCTCCTCTGAGGGCTCCACAGAGTGTTTTTAAGAGCCCGCTTTTGGAGCCAGATGTTTTGTTGATTTATTGTGAATGGGTGCAAGTACATGATGTGACAGGAAAAAGCTCTTTTTACCCGGTCCATTCTTCCTCGGAGATGATAACAACGAATTACCTAATGAATCTCCTGTTTTCTGCTTTTTATTTATTATTAAACMCCCAAATGCTGGGGAAGCTGTAAGAATCCATAAATAAGTGAATAACTGGGAGACCAATATAAGCAGATAAGGAAGACCATTGAAAAGAAGGCATATTTCTAATGCCGAGAAGGCAAGATAGCAACAGCTGAAGGGGAGACATTAGCACATTCAAACACAAAAAGGGAAAAAATATAAAAGGAAACCAAAAGAAAGGCCTGCAGACACGTGAGCAATCTGAAGGAGTAGATCTACATGGACCTCTGGTGTCTGCATGAGGTCCTCAAGAGCTCCAGGTGACCGGTCAACAGGTTGATGATGTTTTACTGGAGGGACTACCCAGGACCTTTGCTGGAGCACAGATGATCTTTGCCTTGGCCTTGACCACAAGGATTTATGATTTATTATTTTGGCAAGGTAGGGTAGATCTGGTGGTGGCCCTTTTGTGGCAGGTGGAAATATACTCCAACACCTCCTCACCTTCCAACACGCACCCCAGTTTGAAACTACAAAACGCACAGGTCAGTCTCCCACATTCACCAAATCTCTTCTTCTTGAGGACCTGCCTTTTTTTCTGAGCACATCAAATAGATTTTGCATTTCTAGGTTAAAATGTTTTTGCCTTCTCTTTACCTGGTGCCACTCCGAGCGCTTTGGATACATGCATTATATATGTAAGTGCTGCATGGAAATTTAAAACCCATTTGTACCTGTAACAGCTTATAATTTCCTTTCCAATCTCAGGAGAAAAACAGATACTTACAAAAATCAAAATGTTAGTAGCTCAGCTTCACAGACATTTGTGCCTGTCATTTAGGAAAACTATTACAGCACGCGCCATGAAAGAGCACTTTAGATACCAGCAGTTATTTATAATGGAAGCTACTTATAGTTAACCTGGATATATTGAAAACA